ATTCAAGATTTTTATGTTAGGAATGAGAAATATTATTCCCAACCAAAATCACACTCAGTAACGTGTGATTAGATTTTACCATATCTATTCTATTTGGAAGAAAAGTTTTGAACGAAAAATACTCGGAAAGGAGCCTCGTAAAATAATGGCAGACTTACTTGATTAGATCGATGAGTTCTACCAAATTGCTGTATAGCTCGGTCTGCGCTCCACGGCAACTCTAGTGTGATATGAACTCGGCGCCGTTGGTTAATAGCTCGGCGATCAGCCTGTAATGAGATGCCGCTACTAGCCGCCTCCGAGATTATAGCGATTAGCTTTTCCCCATCCATAAATCGACGTTTCTCGGTCAGATTCAGCACCTCCAGGTTAACATCTGGCTCTCGACGCGATTCATAAGCGACAACGCCGGCTTCATCACTCACAATTCGGCCTTTTCTGCCAGTCATCTCAGCAACACCTTGAGGTCCTCCTAACCTGTGAATTAGCTCATCAAGTGAGCTGGGAGGCAGCTTTCTGCCCAACCGCTCAATGGCACGCAAGAGTAATGTTTGCATCTCTTGGCACTGACGGCGCGCCTCCTCTTCAGAGACACCAGTACCACCGATACTGCGCTTTGTGTTAGCTGTCTCTAGAGCATCTGATGAGGATCCACCAGTCAGCGTCAATCCAGATGTACTTTGATCAGAAGCCGATGAGCCAATTAAATAGCGGCGTAAGCGATCACGTGTTGAATCGTCAGCCCAGAGGCTATCGCCTGAACCGGAACCAGAATAGCCTGAATCTAAAGTACCCGGAGAACGAGGAGTCTGGTTGCGGGAAGCTGAATCACGTGCCCATTCTGATTGGCGAGCAAGAAAGTTGTCAAAAAGTGCATCTGGGTCCCATTTGTCCTCATCCGACGAGTCCGACCGCGATGAATTATCACCGCTAGCATAGCCGAGAGGTGAACAAGTGCTACTACTTGCATAATGCTGCTTACGCCTACCACTACCAGTGCCTCCTGCTCCATTTAATCCACTCTGACGGGACTTCGACTTGCTTCCAGAGTCCCGAGCTGGCCGCTTCTCCGCACATTTTCGCTTCCGCTCCCGATGCCGATCACGCTCACTAGTCGACATTAGTTCTAAGTCAGAATCATAGTAATCTGTGGATGACGAGCAACCACCATTAACTCCGTTCACATCGTCTAGCTCGCTGTCTGCATCATCGTCATCTTCGTCACCGGAGTCAGGAGAATCTTCAGCATCGCCTTCTTCCTCCACTTCTTTACCATCTTTGTCTCCATTAGCTGCATTCTGATCATCGGATTCAATGCGCTCCGATGTAGATTTCTTTTTCTTGCGACCTGGAGCAGAGGTCCCATTCCCACTGGCAACAGAAGAGGAATCCTCTTTAGTCAGGCCTGAAAGACTTCCCCCTGCAGCCAATTTTGCAAACATTTTCTCACCCAAAATGTCTTTCAACCCAAGCCCACTTCCTTGGCCTCCAGCGACAGCACGACCAGCACGATTCAAAGTTGTACTAGAAGTTTTGTCTCCAACGGAAGCGAGTTTGTCGCCACGAAGAGCGAAATTCTTCAGATTTGTGGAGGTAGG